CGGCGCGCCCACACGCCGCTGCACTCGGTCGAGGCAATATAGGGCGTCAGGTTGAGGTTGTCTTTAAAGAGGGTACGGGCAGAGGCCAAGTCGTTCTGGGAGAGTACGGCGAGGACAGCGACGGGGACTTGGACGAGTTGGCGGCCGACCGCTTCGGGCGCGGCCGACGTCCATGGTTCGCCGGAAACGCCCATGGAGTTGATGACGAAGGTAAATCTCTCCAATTTCATTTATGTGAAAAGAGGGTCTAAGGAATCGGGGGTAGCAAAGCAGTGGGTGACATCAAGTAGCACGTTTCTCAGCTGCTAAATGTGAGTCATCGAGCAAGGAACGGCGGGCTAGCATTCCCGTCTTACACCAGTTTTTACTTCCGCTCACATACTTTCGGAGACTTGATAGCGTTAGACTTGTTGATTTTCTAGGGGGGCTCGCAAAATCACTAGAATGATAGAAAAGTGAAGAGCGCAACAAGATTCTTCACCAAATTTGCTGCCCAAATTCCGCCTGTACAGACCCAAATGTCTGGCCGTCCACCTCGAGCGAAAATGTCATGACGGCGGAGTCAAACGATATGACCAAATCGTACGATACCTGCCAGCTGAGAGACCCGTTAATTGCATATTACTGAATGCCCATTCACGCACTGTACTCACTATGACTCGCCGAGAATCAGGTCTGTTGCACAACCGAAGAGACCTTGCGTAAGAAGCGAATTGCCTGACCATTTGAACATTTTCTTGAAGTTAGTGGCTGGGAATTTCCCAATATCATAATGAAGAACACAGTTTGCATTAATTGCTTGGCTCGTCGATGGGTGTACTGGCGCGACGCTATACCCTTCTTTAGCGAGTCCATCTTCAAAGGTAGACGAGGACATTGACGTACCCTTCGTCGCATTCAAACAAAGTTTCTTGCAACATGGTGGGCCCACTCTGGAAATTTTCGGGAAGCACTCGAAGAAAGGGTAGCCGAATCTTTCGATCTTTTTGAATATTGTCGCCGATGTTGATGAACCATGACATCTCGCATTGTTAACAAGTTGATGTCTATGCCATGCTCTAGGGACTTCACTTACTCGAGACACTTTATACAGCCCTGTACAAGCATCATACACCGTGGGCTGTCCTTGATCAATTGAACTGTCGAAATCCGCGAGGGCCTGTACGCCATAATGCCGCACTGCCGCAACGCCAGTGACGACTGCTTGGCTTGGCATCTTTGACAGAGCAGCGCCTCTACACCGCAATCAGTAAAAATTGGCAAATAAGAATGAAAAGGCACTGGAACCCATACTTGGCTATGGCAGCCCATGCATCGTCTAGCGGAACTACCGTGATCCCTGGGTTGGCCCTTGCAACTTCGCTTCGGAGGTATTCGTTGCCTCCGAAGCCACCGACAAGAATAATGGACTGAACTGTTAGTTGGGTGGAAAGACTGTGTGAGACGCTTCGAACATACTCGAACTGCTTTCCTCTTTCGTTCAACTGACTGTACTTGCCCCCGAATCAGACGCAGTATGTCAGTAACGACAGGGTCAAAAATAACTTTGATGTCGGCTCTGTCGTCTGAATTAGATAGATGAATATGGGCCCAGTACACTTCATACATACCCTGTAATCCTCCACTCCTGATCTTTGAAGCCATGATCTGGGTCATCTTCGAGTCCAGTACCGAAAAAGTCGAGAACATATCTCTTTTTCAGGTCTCCAGCAAACCCTTTTTTTATTTGATTTTCGAAGTATTCGCAGACATTGGTCACGGCCCGACCATGTTTCAGGCTCTCCCATTTGTTATCAGGTATGAGGTCTTTCACGGCCGCCCTAAATCGTCGATTTAAAACCATAGATCCGACCATGGCTCCTTTCAGAGAGTGTCAGTAGACTTTAGGTTAGAAAAGAGATGAGAACTACCTGTGCCAGGAACAATTTCTTTGAGTTGAAGATTCGGCGTCGTCGCTTCAATTTCGTATGAGATCAAATCGACCGTGCCTCCGCCAGCATCACATATCACCATGACATCGTGTGGTTCCACAAATGCTTGGAGGCGTCTAAGTGAGTAGAGAGCCGCTGCCTCAGGCTCTTTGACTAGAGTCACTGGAGAAATCCCGGCGAATTCTGCAGCCTAGACTCGTATCAGCAAAGATGTACTGAATTCGCAACTGCATTTTGTAGCATTATACCTCCAAAGTCGCATTTTTGGCCGCGTCAGACCACACAGCAGGCACTGGTTACCCTGTAAGCGTGTACCTCTCCAAGTCTTGTTGAATGTTAAGTACCTGACATGACATATTCAATGTCAAATGCGTCAAGGTTCGTTTTTGCGACTTGCGTCTGAATGTGTGAAATACCGTAGGTTTTTATTGCGCGCAGAAAATCCGTCGCAACATCCTTTGGGGACTTGGAAGGGGGCAGCAACTTCAATGTTGTCTCGATATCCGTTTGCGGCACATGCCAGGGGAGCGTTTGATCTGGATCTAACAGCAGCTTTATTCCGATGATATTATGGCGTGAGCTCTCGACGGGGGCTCCCCATTCGAAGTGTCCGGGGTTTGCACTGTCGTACTTGACAACTGTTGGGATCTTGTCGGCCCCGATAGAGCCTGTGACAGTTAGCGCACGTTGCAGCGTAGGACCAAGTAACATACCAGGCCAAGTTTGAATTCCACGCAAATTTCCTGTTGGAAGCTTCTCTGGAAAACAGTATGCTATTCCAGAGTATGTGGTTCCAAAATCGATGGCGACGACGAGGCGCGTTGGGCCCATGGTCATTCAAGCCAGTTCGCGCCGGCTGCTGCAAGTACAAAGTCGCTCACTGCACAGCAATTTCTTGCAGTTGCAGGTATCGAATGTATTGCTTGCAAAGGTTGGAAAAGGTCGAGTATAGCTGCAAGCAGATGTTGCGGCTATAAAAAGCTGTCCGTCAGAGGCAACGGCAAAAAAGGCAGTCCAGCATGTAGACCCAACACATGGTATTGCGAGCGCTACCCCTCTTTTCCACAGCCTCGTTTGAACAAAGAGCAACTTTCTCGGTGAAGTCCGGCATCGCTCCTCTTTCATTCACACGTGATCAACCCATGCATGATCCTTCCGAGCCCGGCGGTAAAAAGGCAGGGGTGGTGTGAGCGTGAGCAAGCACCCCCTCAATTTCGCCTCCTGCACTTGCACAGTATCCTGTGTTTGACCAAGTTGATTCGTTAGGCGAATATACAAGACCATGACCAAGCCACTCAAGGATAAAGAGGGACAGAGCTCGCGCAGAAGAGCTGCCTCTCCTCCTCCTCGCCACCACGCCACCCGGAGCCGTCGCAAATTGCAACCACAGGCCGAAGAAGAGGTACCCGGCCCTGCTCAAAATGCGTTGACTCAGGATGCGTTGCCTCAGAGTGCGTTACCTCAGGATGCGCTACCTCAGGATGCGCTGCCGCAGGATGCGTTGCCTCTGGATGCGTTGCCTCTGGATGCGTTGCCTCTGGATGCGTTGCCTCTGGATGCGTTGCCTCAGGATCCGTTGCCGCAGGATCCGTTGCCGCAGGATCCGTTGATACATCAACTGCAAACCGCATTCACCAAGATCGGAAAAGAGACAGTTGCACTTGAGTTGCAAAATTTGACAGCTCACTCGCAGGAAATCCTCGTTGCAACCATTCAAGCTTCTGTGAGTAGGTCGAGAGTGGTGCCTTGTGAGCTCTTCCCTGCTAAACAAGCCTCAGCTACGTAAGATTGCAAAAGATTATGACAAATCAACTACCTTTCACATTGAAAGTTACGCGTCGTCACCAAGAACTATTCCTGGTGGTCTGCATGAAGTCAGTCTAGTCACAGAGCCACATTGGCCTGCTGAGTGTCGCCCTTGCTAATATTTGGCAGTTGGAGAAGCTCTATCACGAGGAAAAGGCCAAAATGATGGCTGATGTACAGAATTTGCATCAGAAGACTAAAATTCTCGAATCCAAACTGGAGGCAGCCGGCAAAGAAATCACAGCAGCTCGCGAGAGCGAAAATGTGTGGTTTAGTGCCCTTCTCGCAAAGTCTGCTGGAGATGACGGCGTTACGGACGCTCGTTTAATTCAAGAGTTTGGGAGTCTGGAAGGCCAGATCCATGCCCTTGGCCATTCCGATGCCTTCGCTCGCAGCGGAAAGCCTACTCGCTCTCATGTGGCCGTGCCGTCTGAAGATGAGGAATTCTATCTGGCCTGGTCCGCAGCAAGTAGACACGAAAGAACTCTACTGATTAGAGCGCGGATGTTTCAATTTATACATGACCGCATTCTGAATCATGAGATGTTCGGGGTAGCCACCATTGCTACGGCTTCTGACACGGAAAGGCGGAGTTTCCTGCACATGGAAGAGCGGCTGGTTGAACTGGAGAGAGCCCTGAAAGCTCGCCCGGGTAAGTTCGAAGTCCAATACACAATGACATAAATCTGAGATAATTTGAAGTTGCCGAGAACCACATCGCGGACTGGAGAATGGCGACGATTAGATGCATCCGGTCCTGTCAGCGAGACGACAGACTTGGCGACGACTTGGCAACGACTATGTACTCTGTTTTTGAGCCTCTCATTCTAAAAGACGTGGAATTGGAAGAGATTGAACTACTCAAAAAAGACCTCTCGCAGCTTTGCCGGGATGCTGTCAAGCTTAGATTTTTGATGCGTGGGTCGGAGGAGCACTATGAATGTGTCACATTGGAAAAGGGACTTCCCTTGTCAAACAACACCGACATCGCCGAGAAATACACCGTGTGGGGTGGCAAATATGAGGAAGACTGTTCATTTATTCGGTTTACAATATTCGGGGCTCTGGTTCATCGCCTAAGACACCCCCCTGGTGCGCGAAGAGCACTTGAGAAGGCGAAGGTGGTAATGCAGAGCGAAAGTGGATGAATAGTACTCATAAAGACAAGAATCAGTATGAAATGAAAAGTATACAGTCTAGACGAGCCTTATAAACCGTGATTCCAAAATATAGCGAAAACCCTTCTTATGCGGGCTGCAGAGATTTATTCATCGTACACTCGCGAAAATGGCCCTCGCAACGATGTCCCAGCTCCTTGTTCATCGGTCCGCTGCGGAAGTGGCCGAGAATGTACGAGCCACCCTTCAAGATCCAAAACATTGCCCAGGCAGAGCGCCAGCAGTACGCGCACCCGAAAACAAGAGGACCGGTGAGAATCTCGACACCTCGAATCAAAATCCCAATGTGGCAAGGCAGCGAGGACGACGAACTGCGGCAGCTGGGCGTAGGGGCGAGCTGAGAGTCTGAAAGTCAGGACCTCAGAGAAAAACCAAAGGGAGAGAAGTAATAGTGTAAAGGCTCTATTCTTCTCCAATTTTGCAGTTAGGGCTGAGAAGGAGATGGCGCGGCCGTCCTGTCACGGTGGGTAGTGATGCGATCGTCTAGAGGAACGGCTGCGTAGTCGCGTGCGCTGCGCCTCTCTAGTGTCGGAGAAATGGCCATATAGTGGTTTCCTCGTGTAAGTTTGCTTGTCGCCCTATATACGCATATCTTCCCGCCAAATCTCATTTTCACTTGGCTCTCGCATTTTGTGTATTCGACGCGCGATGCCCACTCGGCCGGAAGCGAGATGCTGGAGCCGTTGGTCAGACGGCGGACGGCGCTAAACCGAAAAAAGATACCTTCCGCGAGCAGTGGATTCTGGTGGGGTCGTGTTAAGGCTGAGCGATGGATGGTTGCTGGGCTTTTGACGTTGATGGAAAATGGGCTTGATGAATTTCGGTCGGCTACATTTTCTATGTTTTTCTTTTTGGCTGAATTTCGCTGGTAGATAGCGTTCGATTGTGGAAGACTAAGTAGCTCGAAAAATCGCAATAATGTCGTTTTATGTTGAGACTGCCTCAAAGTGGCCTGGGGGTTTTTTTTAGTGCCGGACCTGGAGTCATCGACCGACCTACTGAACTAACCTCCTGAGTAATGCGCTGCTGAAACTCCTGGCCACTTAGTGATGGCTTCAAATCTCTGCCGTGCAAATAAAAATTTCCACTAACAAAAAACGCTTATCTTGACGCATAGATTGTGATTATTGTGCCCATTTTTATCTTCCCTGGTGTTGTTGTTAGTAGCGCCAACCCTGATGCTGCAAACGCAGTATTGCTGCACCCAGTATTGCTGCAAACGCAGTATTGCTGCACCCAGTATTGCTGCAAACGCAGTATTAAGCGAACGCCTCCCACCAGAATCATCATCTCGCCTTAGAAGACCACGCCATGGATTACGCAAATCCGACAAGAAACCGAATCCATCAAAAGCCACACAAAATAAATCACGTCCATCCAACATCCGGACTGCCAAACCACTCAGCCCTGCGATACGCCTGCCCGCCCATGTGGAGCAATGCCGCCCGCTGACGTCGCCACTCAGCCTCGTCATCCATGGCCCTTCCATCTCGCACAATCCTTCCTCTTTGAGCACGCTCTCTCCTAAAAAATCATCGCCATGCCCGCCCTCCAGCATCAGCATCCCGAGTACCCCTCTCATCACATACCCCTCTAATACCCAGCATGGTCGGCGTCCCTGGGCGCTCCAAGGCCTGTAACACCTGTCTCCAGCGGAAAATCAAGGTACGCTCTCCGACCCTAACCCTGAGACCATCCCTAACATGCCCATCGCAGTGCGACCTCGCGAAACCACACTGCAGCAACTGCTTCAAATCGAAACGCATCTGCGGCGGGTACACCCGCAAGACAGCATACATCTTCTCCGAAAACGTCGTGCTCCCCGCCGCCGCTGAGAAGGACGATGGCACCCTCACATACCAAGGCCGGTGGAAAGGCACCACCAAAAAGGCACGCACGCCATCACCCGGCCTTGTCCACGTCGAAGCGCGCCCACGCCTGCCACGGCCTGCTGACGACGCCTCCTCCGAGCTCAGCGACGTCGACCTCGGCCGCGCCCTTGCCGCCCAGCGCATCCCCATGATGCCGTCGCTGTGGCAGCAGCTGCACCACGTCTTCCTCGCCGCCTACATGCCGCGGCAGGGCATGGGCGCCGCCGACAACGCCGACTACGTCACCGGCAACTGGCTGCTGCAGCTCCAAGGCCGGTCGTCGCCGCTGCCCGCCCTGCAAACGGCCGTTGCCGCCTTTGCCGCCGCGCAGATTGGTCGCGCGCACAGCGACGCCCGGCTCGTCTCGCAGAGCGCGCACCTCTACCTGCGCAGCCTCGAGCACCTGCGGCACGCGCTCGCCTACCCGGCGACGCGCCTCCACGACGACACGCTCGCCGCGTGCCTCACTCTCGGCATCTACGAGCTCACCGAGACGCCCCGGCCGCGGCGGCACACGACGGCGCTGCAGCTGCAGCAGCAGGAGAACACGGCGTACAGCAAACACATGATTGGCGCCATGATGCTTCTGCAGCTGCGCGGACCCGACGGTAACAACACGCCGCTCGCACACAGCCTGTTTCTCAGCCTCCGGCGGCACGTCATCAACACGACGCTCATCACGCACACCGACTCGTTTCTCTGCCACGACGAGTGGCGCGCCCGGCCCTGGCGCGTGTACCCGAAGAACGTGCTTGACCGGTGCCTCGACTGCGTGCAGGACCTGCCGCCGCTGCAGCGCCTGGCCGACGAGATGCAGCGCGGCGCGGGTGATGCGGCGCGGGTGGCGGCCCAGTGCGCGGCGCTGACGCAAGGCAGTACGGCCGTGCTGGCGCGCCTCGGGGAGTGGTACGGCACGCTGCAGGCGCAGGTCGCCGGGCCGCCGTACTGGTCGCGCTTCTGCACGCTGACCAGCGCGCAGGACGACGCCGTCCGCGGCAAGCCGTTTCCGGTCTCATACAACTTTGCGACGTTTAGCACCGCGTACCTGCTCATGATGTACTGGGCGGGCGTCATGGTCGGCCACTGGCTGCTGTTTGTCGCGTGTCGCGCGCTGGCGGCGCTGTCGTCCGAGGACGACGGCGGTGAGCCGGAGCGCGCAGAGCTGGTCGCGCGCGGCCAGAGGCACAGGGAGGCGTGGGTGGCAATGGCGAGGAACATGTGCCAGATGACGGAGTACTTCCTCGGCGAGGACATGGGCAAGGTGGGCGTCAGCGTGGCGCTCGCGCTGCTCGAGGGCGCCATGGCCATGTTCTGCGATGGCACCGACGACTGGCAAAGGGAACGGGCGTGGGTGGCGGAGATGATTGCGCTGACGGCCAAGAGGCTGAATGAGACGAGCATGTTGGTGGTGTAGTGCCGCGGGCGGTGCATATATCATGTAGTATAATTGTAAGGAATAAAGTATAGCCAATGTGCATTCCTATCTGGGTATTCAAACCTTTACCTTTGTCTGGAGTATTGCATGCGTATGCATGTGCCTGGTCTAACTGGGTATCTCTATCTCCTTCCCACTGGCTCCTTTTGCCTCTACCTCTTTCTGATCTTGCCCTTCTCCCTCTCCCTTGCTCTTCTCGACCGGCTTCATTTCCTTGAGCAAGCCGCGTTTTTCTAGGCTCGCCAAGTATGTCGCCTGCTGTCTTTGCATGGCCACCGCCAAAACCGCGCTCTTGTGCTTGTCGATGAAGCTCCTCACCTCGTCCTCCTTGTAGAAGCCCTGCTCATCCAGCAGACCCTCGTCAAACTCGACGCCGTAGCTCGCATCCCGCTCCAGGATGATGCGCTTCAGGCCCTTGACCAGGCACGCGCGCGCCGTGATGGCCGGCTGGTCCGTCGTGCCCGGCGCCAGCGGCGGTATCTGCGTCTTGATGACGCCGTTCCAGATGTGCTCGCGCTGCCTCTCGCGCAGAAACGACTCGCGGCGGCGCTCAAACTCGTCGCGCACGCCAAACGCGTCGAGCGCGTGCTCGGTCAGCTCGGCGCGCCCCGTGCGCTGCGTCGCGAAGCGGCCCTCGCGGCGGCACCGCGGCACAAACTCGTCGATCCAGCGGCGAAAGGCCGGCCGCGCGCGCATGCGCTGCCGGTCGTTGTGCTTGAGGCTGCGCAGGTCCTTGAGCAGGTTGTGGCCCTCGTCGTGGTTGGCCGCGTCGGTGGCGGCCGGCGTGATGTACATGACGCGGCACAGCGCGGCGTACTCGAACAGCGCGTCGTGCGTCGCAAACGGCGTGTCGAGCCAGGTGCGCGCGTGGGCGCCGGTGCGCGGCAGCCCGAGGAAGTCGAGCACGCGGACCGGGTCCGACGTGAGGTGCACCTTGGCGCGCGTCTTGTTGACGGCCTCGATCTCGCGGATGCGGACCGACATGCCCTTGTCGTCGACGGTGAGGCCGTACGGCCGCACGAGCGAGCCGACGACGTTCCAGAGGTCGCCGTGGGCGTGCTTGAAGAGCATCCACCGGTGCGCCTCGAGGCTGGGGGAGATGCGAATGTCCACCTGAATGTATTTCTTCTCGTCGGCGGTAGCAGCCTCCCCCTCGACGACCGCCACCTCGGACACTTGGTCCTCGGCACCGGCCGGCCACGGGATGGCGAGATTGGACGACACCTCGCCGGGGTTGTAAATGGTGCGCACCGCGCCGAGCAGCGTCGCCATCTCGTGCATCAGCTCCGATCCGGGCTTGGCGTGCTCGATGGCCGGCGGCGGCGGCGCCGCCCCGGGTCGGCGCTGGAACACGAGGAAGTCAATGTCGCCAAAGTCCTTCTTGGCAGGCCCGTCAATGGGCGAGTCGACGTGCACGTAGACTTGGCGCAGGAGCGCTTGGCAGCGCCGCTTCTGCGCGTGGTAGAGGCTCGGCAGCATGCGAGGAGTGCGCAGGGGCGCGGCGCCGACGGAAAAGGCAGAGCCGCCCATGTTTGGGGTGTCGATGCTGATGTGTTGATTTGAAGGTGTTGATGGGAGACGATGAAGGACGGGAGTGGTGGCGTTGAGATGAGTGTAAGTTTGTGGCAAGCTGAGGGTGTGAGTCAGTGGCCGGGTCACACACAGTTGCAGGGTCGAGAAGGCCTGAGATGAGAAAATATATATTGGGAGGACTCGTGCGAATTTATAAGAACATTTTGAGCTGTTGTTGAGTGAATTTACTAGTCCATTGATGAAACCTCCGCGTTTGCACTTTTCACGGCTCACTTGGTGAAGTGCCACTAGTGCTCACATTTTAGCGGCTGTTCAATGCCGGATGGTTTTGCACAACCCCAGCGTGGTCACACAGCAGTTTTGCATTTGTGATGCGTTTGTTTTTCACTAGCAAATCAATGCTTGTTCGGAAATTTTTTTTTTTCTTTCTTTTTTTCCAGCTTAGGACGCTTTGGCAGCAGTCTCTGGTTGAGGCTGGTCGGCGCGGCACGCCTCACTATGCATAAGTCCACTCACATGATTATGCATTCCAGGGATAATCTGTTGATATGAGTTACCCCTGCATCGCAGTAGAGTCATGTCCAATCAATCCCCCTGGTACCCCTGCACATCATTTAGGCGCCGCCCCCGCCAAAACCCCCAAAATCTGCGGCTGAGACGCCTCCGTTCCTGGCGCGCCACTCCTCCCGATACGTCCGTCTCGGCACCCGCGCTTGGCTCGCTTAACCCAAGACGTCCTGCCCTGCTCCAAATGCCGCAACGCATTTGCGCCGCCTCGCAACCCCGTAGCGCCCGCTACACACAGCTGCCTGGTCATGGCTCTGCCGCGATCGAACGACGGCGACATTAGGGGCCGCCCCCGCCTGCGCTCGCCTTTGAGAATGCCATGCTGGCTGGCCATTGTTCCCGCTCGTACAGGATGAGCAGCCTATACCCGACGTGATTGCCCGAGTGACAGCCATGACAGGCCTGGTATTCATGGGCATCGGTGTACGTGCTTTCCTGTTGCCAACAAGCGCACCGCTGACCGCCTCGGGTCGGCAAAGGCTACTATTGACAGGCCGGCCAGCGCGTGTCGACGCTGTTGCGGCGAATTCTGGTGTCGGCTGTTTTCGAAAAGTCCTTGCAGTCGAACCGCAATGTGCTGGGCAACAAGGAGGCGCTGAAGCTGATATATACTGACCTAGTTCCGCTGGAAGAAGTGCCGGCTCAGGTCCGCAACCTCTGCATCAGCTTTCTCGAAGTCGGCTTTGGTATGTATCTTCTCGCTATATACGTTAGCCTATGCCTAGTGTTTGTTCCCGGTTCTCATAAGTATTTGCGAGAATAATTTACATTTTTGTGCTAACGAGGTAGTCGTTGTTTTCCTGACAGCGAAAATGGCCTATGCCAAATCTCCGGCCAGACACGCCTGGAATGACAAAACGGAACACCGCGCGGCCTCGCCTCGAGTGCCATGTCTCAGCTCAAAGACATCAAAGCCATGGGCCTCTCATCTATAGGATCGACCCAAATTCAAGCGTTACGCGCTGAGCAAGTGAAAACCTCGTTGTACGTCAGAAAACTGCCGCCACGCAAGTCGTGGGTGAGCGCTGCATACCTGCGCTGCACCTGCAAAATGGCTAGTGCCCAAAGCATGACCCCGACGCTTGTCCTCATCGGCCCGTCTCCTGACTTACCGTCCCAACTTCGCAGACGGCTTACGAAGTATTTACCGTCAAAACGCTTGTTTGCCTAGTGTCAAAGAATGTGTCTATCACGAAGAAGGTGGGGGGAGAGATAGTAAGAAGAGAACTCCTCCGCGAGCCCGAGACTATGATCAAGCGAAGCCGTAACGAAAGTTGGGGAAAGTTCCACACTAAACCCCCAAGGTTCGGAGGAAGAAGCTAGGCGGAATCCCAGACCATTATGACTAATCTCGACGCGATCCTCTAGAGCAACCCCCACGACCTCATCACGAGATTGGTCATAAAGGTCTGGTATTCCACCTAGCTTCTTCCTCTGAACTTCAGGGGTTTGGCCTATCCTTTTCCTAACTTTCGTTGCGGCTTCGCTTAATTATAGTCTCGTGTTAGTTCTCTTCTTACTATCTCTCCTCTTACCTTCTTCGTGCTAGCCACATTCTTTGACACCATGCCTCCCGGTACAGCCGACGCGTCGGCCTCGCCGCCGCATCTGCCGCGACCCGTCTGTCCAAGAGAGAGAAGCAGCTGGTGTTCCTCGCCAGGTCCAACCTCCACACGGAACACGTCGATTGGCGTCTCATCTCGGTAGAGGATGTGTCCCGCGGTGTTGATGGCGAGATGGCCAATGGCATCCAAGAGGTCACTACATTTGCCGACTGCGCGGTCGTGATGGTGACGAGTCGTACGGAGGCTCTCCGGAACATGCAGCGAATGGTCGAAATGGACAGAGGACAAATCGTCAACATGACTGATCGCCCACGACCAAGAATCGAGCGATTTGGAAGACGGCGTAGACTTTTGAATAGATCGCATAGTGGTAGAAAATATACAAGAATTGCCCCCACTCAAGGCCGCTCTATTTTTGCCGGACGCAGACGAGAATAAGGAATGCGCACATTTGCAGCAGGCCTGCCGCCAAAAAGGGCAGGCCGTACCACGACTGGCCCCATTGCAAGCCGACGCGAAAGGCGCTCGCCATGACGGGCCCGGCGAGCATGGCGCCAGTGGCGCTCATGGTGGACACACAGGCGTAGACGGTTGACTGCTGGGTGATACCGGCGCTGCGCTCCGCCACGGACACGATGACGCTCACCATGGACGGCATGTAACCGCGGTTGCACTCGTACAGGGCAATGGCGGCGACAAAGGTGCCACCGGTGGGTGCGAGCGCCGTCAGGAAGCTGCCAAGCACCTGCAGGCCGCCGCTGCCCCGGGCGAGCCACAGGTCCTTCCGCAGCGCCGAGAGGTTGGCGCGCAGCATCAGCCAGCTAAGCGCGGGCAGCACGAGCACGAGCATGGACAAATTGGCGGCAGACACGACTGAGGACAGCAGTCCGGCCTCAGCCCACGTCCAGCCGAAGCGCTTCGTGGCGTACTGCAGCCGAAACGTCGTCTCGTAGGCGCCGAGCGTGGTGAAGACGACGCCGCCAAGGAGCAGCGTGAGGGGCAGGTTGTGCCCAAAGACGAGGCGCAGCGTCGAGGTGGTGGTGGTGAAGACGTCGACGACGCGCGACGTGAAGCTGGCGGATTCCGGGAAGGAGGGGGAGGTGACGAAGGGCGTGTTGCGGAGTTTGCGCGGCATGGCGAAGCCGGGGATCGTCATGAGGGCGATGAGCAGCACGCCAACAGTTTGCGCGCCGACGGGGCCGGCGCGGCTCATGATGAAGTAGACGGCGGGGCCGGTGAAGAAGATGACCGAGGTGCTGTATGCTTGCATGTAGAAGAAGAGCGTGGTTCTGAGATTGGTAAGAATAAATGTGTGAAGCGCAGAATTTGCGCAGCTGGCGTACCTGTTCTTCTCGCTGACGAGGCTGGCGCCGACGAGAAATCGCATGGCGGCGTAGGTGGCGCCGCCGCCGCCAATGAGCGTCATGCACGACGAGGCGTAGATCCAGCGAACATTGAAAATGTGCGGGTTGAGGCCTAGATAGTCAGCAAATATTCACACAGGAAAAAAAAAAAGGCAGAGAGCAGGAGGGGAGCTCGCTCACAGACAACGAGGTGGCCGCCCTCGGACAGAAACTGCCCGACCCAGACGAGACCAAGCACGATATTCGGCCCGTACTTGTCCGCAATGATGCCGTACGGGATCGACATGAGCAGCCCCGGCACGACGGAGATTGTATTCTCCATGCCGATGATCCAGGCCAGGTCAGCCTGGACGGCCTTGTCCTTGCAGCGCGCGTCGCGGTACGGGTCGACGACGTCGGGGAACGCGCTGCGGCAGAGGGAACCCTCGACGAGCGCGGCCACGCCCGCGGCGCACAGCGCGGCGGCGAACTCGACGGCCGTCAGGATCAGGAGGAACGGGATGGCGGTGCGCAGGCGCGGCGCGTCATCATCCCGGGTGCTGCTCCCGTCCCCGTTTGGGAGCAGCAGCAGCGGCGTGGCTTCGCTGATGGGCTGCGGCGCCGCGGGGCTTGTGGATCCTGGATCGGCCATCTTTTTTTGAGGTTATATCGAGCCAAGTCTCGCTCACGCCGCAAAGCAGCTTTTCTTCTCGATGAAAAGACTGCGAGGGCGGTTGGTGAAGGATGCAAGAAACCGAAGCTCTGGCCATTGACCAGTAGGTCTCGGACCAGGGAGTGGAGCTGCCCCCCAGATGCAGCTGGGTGAGCGCGGCGACTTGCCTTATTCGGTCATCGATACTTGTCAAAAAGTTCCTTCGGAAATACGCTAATGAATTGGCAGAAAATTAATAATGTTGTGTCGTGATATATTTGGGGCAATTTGCGCGCCTGCAGAACAGCTAGGATCGATGCGCCAAGAAAGTGGCGTCAATCCTTCCGGGACCCGTCATCGCATCTGCTTCCACATTCACCAGGCTAGTGAATTTCTCTTTTCCTTTTTTTTTCTTTTCCCCATCACATTGTCTTTCCGTCACCGCAGCCAGTCAAACGTGTCCATCAGCTCAAAGCTAAAATCTGGCTGGTCAAACACGCCCCAGTCCAGCATGTCCGGCCCGGCCCCGTTGGCCGCCCCGCCGTTGAGCGTGTAGTCGAGCACGCGCTGGATGATGGCGCTGCAGTTGCAGCACAGCTTCGCGTTGGGCGCCGTGTCGCGCACCCAGTCGAAGAATCCCACCAGCATGCTCAGCTGCTGGATGATGCTCGACCGGCTCACCTTGAGGTCCAGCGGGTGGTTGCCGCGAAACGTCGGGTAGAGGAGCTCTTGGCAGAGCACGCCAGCGCCAGGCGCACCGTAGGAGAGGACCTTGTCGGGTAAGTATACATAGGATTATAGTAGAAAAGTCAGTAGTACGTACAATCCATTCAAAGTTGCGCCGCATGGTCTCCATAGAGAAGCGGTCCTGGTTCATCCAAAAGTGCAGCGTGAGAGACACCATGGTCACGCTGCCAATAAGAAGCTCTCCGTTTCCTACGTAGTTGTATCGCTGCAGCAGCCGGTCCGCAAAGAAGAGGTTTTGCAAGTGTTCTAGATGTGTGAATGTCTTCATGTATGCCACCGTGGGTAGCACGTCTACCGACGCCAGATCACTGGCACAGAATCGCAGCCCTTCTGGGAACTGCTCCTGCAAAGAACATTGTCGATGTCGCAGATCCCTAGACCAGTCAGTTGCGCTCAACTTCAGGAGCAGGCGACGTACAAGAGATACTCAATGTTGACGTGGCTCGCCTTTCCCAGGCTCGCCTCAATCAGCTCGTCGCGGATCATGGAAATCATGAACCGCGCCCGAATCGCCGTGCTCGAGTGCAGCCGCCCGTCCGTATTCCATCCGTGCCTGTCGAGCGACTGCGCGGCGCGCGCCAGCCGCGCCGTGTCCAAAAGGTCCTCGTCGGCAATGTCGAGCGGCATGGGCGTGGAAAAGTACCGGTGGCTGATGAGCGGCGGCCGGCCCGTAAAGGCGACGCCGAGCTTGTCGCGCGTGAAGACGTGCACAGCCATGCGCCGCTTATACTCGGAGTAAAACGTCGGCGTGTATGGGGATGCGTGTTCCTCGGCCTGTGCGCCGAGGAACGTCATGCAGGCGATGCTTGATGCGCCGGTATCCCAGGCAGACATTGCTTTGCCGGAGTCAGTGCGCAAGTTGAATAGTTTCTGGATGAATACTCACAAAGCTCGCCGTCGACAAGCGAATTCAGTGTAGCGAGACGCCGAATCATATCCACCAAGAGAACACTGGGGTTGTTAAAGTGTCGTACAATCCGGATGCAGTATCCGAGATTGATGCGCGCCGCCTCGACAGATGTGTTGTTCACGGACCGGACGAGCAGCGTCTTGTTGAGCGCGTCAAACATGTCGGATGCGCGCTCCATGTGCGCCCACAGCAGGGCAATCGACTCCCACCTCAGATTATTACCGCAGAACGAGTCCATCCACGCCTTACAGTCTGGGTAGTCGCTCTCAAAGGGCCTGCACGTGTTGTTGCAGAGTGTCTGCGCCACCGCCTCCAGACCTGTGCCCTCGCCCAGATGTCGTAGTGCCTCAAACATTCTTTGTAGGTTGCGCACGATGCGGTCCACGGCGACGTAGCTCCAACCCCTCGTCTCGACGGCGCCGTCAAGATACGTCATCATCTCCTCCTTTTGGCCGGGCAGCGCGCGCAGGACCGCCAGGCAGGTCTCGCGCACCATGTGTGGCAGCTCCTGGAACAGCACCACCGGCTGGCGCGGCGCGGCGGCGTAGTTGCCGTCGTCCTCGGGCGGTGTGCTCGCGCCGCCGCCGCCCAGTAGCAGCAGGCTGCTCTTCGTCTCCTCTAGCACCGACGTGTGCCCCAGCCGCGCGCTCGGCCGCGGCGTGGGCAGCACCGGCGGCGAGGCACCTACGGCGTGCAGCGGCATCGGCAGCACCGGCGAGTTTGCCGTGTGCATGGACAGCGCGGGCGAGCCGGTCGCGTGCATGGACAGCGCGGGCGAGCCCGTCGCGTGCATGGACGGCGGCTCTACGGGCAACGGCGGCAGCAGCGGCGGCAACTCGGTAAAAGACGACATGGGGTCTGGCACGCGCGACGAGGCCTCTCGGATGCGCTTAGGCGGCGGTCCTGCGTAGAAGCACCGCGCGCCGAGGTTCTTCTTGAGGCAGCGGGTGCAGACCGGTTGGCGGTGGTCGCACGACACCTTGCGGGCGCGGCAGGGGTCGCACGCTGCCAGGCGGCCATTGGGACGGCGGTGGGATGTTTCCATGGCCAAGGCAGGTAGTTAAATCATCGACGGATCAAGAGCTTCGCGTGGCGACGAGACATTTCGCAGTTTGTTGAAGTTGTGTACATGTCGAGAGGGGAGGCGAAATGTGTTCTGGCTGGCGACGCCACCAAACGGTTAGCGGCAGTGGCGTGTGGCTGTATCGTGCTGCCTAGAAGACGCCCGCCGTGGCTCGTTTTTTGGGGGGGTTATTTTTATTTGGCGTGAAAAGACATCATGCTAAATAGAAAATAAATTTCTCAAATGTCGAACAGCCGTGTCTCCCGCGCCGTTACCTCCTGAGCAATATGTTGGCAGAGGTCATGGCAAGATAGCCTTCGGGTACGAAGCCAACCTATCACAGGCGGCTAGTATACAATACTATTTTGAATCCGTGACGAAATGACCTTGATATAACTATGATGTGATATTGATTAACAGTCATGTATAAACTGTCAAATCCAAGTCGTGGGCCAGCCAGCCTGCCCGCAGACATGCTGGAATAACAGTATGCTCAACTCGGCAACCAACCCTCCATCACTTCATGCAGGAGCGCAAGCAAATATCGTCGCTAAGCACGGGGGTTTTCGCCGCGAGACCTACACATTAGGGTTGGCTTCCGGCACGGCTTGCTGTACAGCGAATGGACTTTATCCGAGTGCGCTCGATGTTGTAGCCGCCCTCTTTGCACACGAAAAATGTTCCGGTGCAGTCAAGGTCGCTATCCCTATTAGCGAGTTGCGACTACAGATAGGCGGATGACTTACTTATAATACAGCCTGCAGATGTTGTGTTGTGCGACTTGTATGGACGAAATTTTGGGCCTTTTCTTGTCAGCGATCGTAGTCCAGTATGAGCGCATGCTCTGGAGACGCACTGTATCTTTTCCACCTTGATGCAGCGACCTCGGGGAATTTTCAGTTCGGAGTCATCGAGGCCGTAAATAATCGCCTGGGCTGACAGTCAGTGGGTGAGCCGAGGCGCTTTGGAGCCTTTGGACCTACGGCAATGACGGGATTATGAGTGTTGGGGGTCTGGGCCAGAGCCAGGCTGCAAAAGCCGACTGTAAAGAGACTGGAGTAGAGGTTGAAGTAGTGCATTTTATAAGTGTGTCGAGGTGATCTTGAGTGACGGGATGGGAGCCCCCTCGCTCCGACTTTATACAAATCTCGGCGACTTGTCACCACTTGCATACGCGCAGCCGCAGGTCTAGACTCACGACGGTCTTGCAGCAGCGTGATCTGGCACTGGCAAATGTGCCTCCAACCCGACACACGAAGTGTACTATTTCCAAGGCCTCACGATCCACCGCATATGTCGGGCGCGACTAGCTGAGTCCAGCCATGCATGCAATGACCCAGAACTCAGCCGCACACGAGAGGGTCGCATCGCCAAGTACGCCGGTATTCGGATGGGAATAAAGTGATCAACTTTGCGGCCTATACAAGTATTTTTGGCTGGATTCACCCTGCAGCTTTACACAAAACAGACCTAAACTCTATTCCCGTAAGATCAGAAATGCCTGCTGAGAAAACCCCCGCGCTCGTGCCCCTGCATAACCAGTTGCTTTTATCATTAGTAGTGTAGCTCTGCTTGCTAGAATCTGCTTACAGAAAAAGCTGGCATCTATTGCCGTCCAAGATCTCAATCGTGACATCGTTGGAGCTTCGTCTTGTCAGTGCTTTGTGTACCGTCGTTCAAGCCCGCATCTGTCAACGTACGCAAATCTGTACGGGGGCGAGGCACAGCGATCCCGAAAAATGGACAGGCTTCGACCAGGGGCGGATATAAGGGCCTAGGTCGGTGAGTACGAAACAAATCGGATAGGCGAGTGAACATTTCGACTTTTGCACGTACAGCGTAGTGGTCGAGGGTTGTTGCCAGCGACAGGCCAACGGCGAGTGGGAAAAGTGCAAGGCAGCGCATGTTGAATTTCTAGCCGAAAGAAATCTGATTTCTTGCCTGAACAAAAACTTTCCTCTTTCTCACTGCTCCCAGCCCTCTACTTTATACTCTTTGTTCAGACCTGTCACAGAGTACGTGTGCACGGCTATACGCGGGAGCTCACGTGTCGATGGTGGCAATTGTCGCCGCTCAACACAACGTGACGTGCCTGCAACTTTGACAGATTTGCAGTTTCCGAATCTGGGACCGATAACCTACATGTTGAATCCATGCTAACTAATTACTGTGTCTAGCCACCTAGACACCAAATATTTATTCTACGTTCCGAGACCGTCTCGCGTACATTGGACAGCATTCAGTCGTCCTTTCATTTACAAAATGATCGCTTCGCTATTTCTGCCACTCGCAAATGCTTTCATTGATCAATAAAAGTTGGCCTGATGCCAGATTCCACGGCGGTCCAATGTGTCCAATGTCTCGGGACATGGTGCTGGTGGGCACGTCGTGCAGATACAGCTGAGTGAGACGCTGGCAAGGTTACCTCGATTGCTCTGGATGCATTCCAAGTAGGTGCACCTGACCACTGACGGCTTGGCTGTGCGATGGCTGCTTCGTTTTCGTATGTATTGGGCTTGGGCGAGGTGTCACCATGCCAGTTCCTTCTGCTTGGCGACAAAGACGTGCTGTGCACTGTTGTCCGGTCGGAGGAAAGCAGACTCAGACATTCGCAAGACAAGTCAGCCGCAGTTGGGACCGTGTCACACGTGGTTGTTCTAGAAACTGCAGTTTCTTCTAGCTCTCGTCTTTGTAACTAGTCGGCGATGGAGTTGGCCGCCGAAGTCCAGGCTATCCCGCTCAGGCAATCGTCCATAGACACGCGGTGGAGGACGACATGTTACAACTTTGCGTTGCCCACTTCAGCCACGTGTCTGCAGTGAGTTTCGATGGATGCAGGAGCCGCTATTGATGAATGTTGGGTAATAGCGCGGTCTCAACATATAGCTGCATGGGGATATAATGGAAGGTGAAACATAAAACTAGGTAATACCAGGAGATTTTGTCAGTGTTGGTGAAAATCGGGAGCCACTGCGGCATCAAGTGTCTAGAAAGAAAGACTCCAAACCACGTAGAAAAGTACAACTTTCGTTTTTTTTTTTCGCTTGTATCCTTTTTTCCAAATGAAAGCTCCGAAGCCCAATATCAACAATTGATTGAGGTCCAGGGTAGCCAGTTTCCTTGTAAATAGTAGGCACTTTACGACTTTACACAAAGTGGGTCACTCAACAGCCTGCGGCCTCGCCTGTATTCAGGCTGCGCTTTACACGTCAAACACCGCAATCCAGCCATCATCGCCGTCATCATCGAAGCCATCGCTAGAGTCAAAATTATCTCGCCCATACCTGCCATCCTGTGCCCAGCGCTCAATTTCCAGGACGCCTACTCGTGATTCACCTCAACATTGGAATTCCCCGTGGCACCCCACGCACCACCCCCAACACCGTACCCAGGAATACAGGAACCACTTCCCCAGACGCTCATCATCAGCGAGCAATATGTACATATGGCTTCCGCATCTGGGCGGACCAACTAACTCACTATGGCCTACGAGCGCAAAACCTTGCGTGCCGCCCGCCTCAAAGCTAGTGCAATAGTCCGCCACGGCAGACCTTGCATTGACCAAACAGCGGCCATACGTCGCGGGCAGCTCGGCACACACGGGTCCGGGTGGCTGGCTCTAAGGACTCCCAGACAGACTACTGATGACGTGTTACGCACGCTATCCAGCCGACGCACTGGCCGCGGAGAGACGCGAATCACGAGCCGGCAGGCGATGGCGAGGCTTCAACCGATCGGTTGACAACCTCAACAGCAATTCAGCGTCCAAGAACCAGATCACAGCTCACCCCGTCGCAAGCCGCGACTCTCTCGACATGACCCATTGGGAAACTAGACCGCGCTAATGCGTTCCTCGCCGCCCGTCGAGGGAAGTTACGCCGACGGCCCCACCAATAGCAGCCTCATTCCAGCTGGGTGGCGCGGCCTAACAGCGATTTTGATGGACCAGGGGAGCCGAGTGCTGACGGGGGGTGCCCCAGACGGGCAAGCAGTCCGTTTTTGAATAAAAGGCCGCGGCGGAACCTGGGGTTGAATTGAATTTTTGTCACTTGTCTTGTGTCTGTTGTTTTGCTGCTGTCCACTCGTTGTCACCACCGTCGAAATGCGCACCGCTTCTCTCTCCGCTGTTGCCCTCTTGGCCGGCTCTGCCGTGGCCGCCGAGTGCTCAACTGGCCTCCACATTCTCGTCGGCCGCGGCACCTCTGAGGCCGCGGGTCTGGGCGAGACGGGCGCGCTGGCCAAGAACATTAGCGACGCCGTCCCCGGATCCGACATTGTCGCCATTGACTACCCGGCCACGCTCGCAGACCCCGGCTACAACGTTTCTGAAACAGAGGGTGCCAAAGACGTATACGACAAGGTCACCAAGTACCACCAGGACTGCCCTGGGCACAAGATGGCCTATCTCGGCTGGTCGCAGGGCGCGCAGATTGCCGTCAACGCGTTTTGCGGCGGTCAGGGCGGCATCTTTGGCGATGCCGCGGCCATTCCGGCTGATGCTGTAAAGGATGGTGAGTGCCTCGGCTGGCTGTGGCCAACCTACGCAACGAAGCTAACTGAAATAGTCGTCGCGATTGCCATTTTTGGTGACCCCAGCTTCAACCACACGGCTCCTTACGCCAAGGGCACCAGCACCGTCGACGGCGTACGTTTAACATTGTCCCTGATATAAGCCAATTGCTAACCTGTGCAGCTTTTTGTCCGGAATGGCATTGGCGCTTGCGCCAACTTTACCAACAAGATTGTGTCGTACTGCGACGCGGGCGATGTGTACTGTAGCGGCGGAAACAACCGATCAGTGCACGGGCTGTACCTGGTCAACTACCCTAAGCAGATGATGCAGTTTGTGATTGACGGCTACAACAATGCCACGGGCAGCAGCGTCGGCGGCGGCAACAGCACGACGACGGCGACAGCGACCACGACGGCTGGTCCGACTAGCAGCGGCAGCAGGACGAGTCCGACGTCGAGCACCTCGGCCTCGGCTACAGCGACGAATAACAAGAGTGGCGCGGCGGGTATGTCGACGAGTCTGATGTATGTTGTGCCTGCGGCTCTGGTTGCAGCGGCCCAGATGCTTCTGTAGAGATGACCGGACGGACGAGAATGTAATGATGTACAAGGTTGAGCATGATTATGCGAGCGGAATGTCTGTTGATAGCTGGATAATGCAAGTTGACTATACCCGATATGCGCGGTGAGCTTGGAGACATCCGCAGCCGGCAGTTGAAATACACGGCCATTTGCGACACTAAGCATGGAGGCTCTGCGTGCTATGACGTGCGACGGGGTTCAAGCTGGACGGAGGTATCACGGCGAGGACTAGTGCATGTCACGGATCGGAATGTTATGTCGCGGGGGTTCCAAGAGGCGGCGATTGACTACGAATCAGTTGTGCTGCGTTTCACTTGCGCGGCGTCGGTTGTGTCTTGTCGCTGTCCGCGGCCATTGCCACCAGCTTGTCGTCGTCCACGAACAGTGCGCTCGGCAGGACGGCACATCCAAGGGACGAGCGAGTTTTGTCTCGAGACTGGCCTAGGATGCCGAGATGCGCGAATCTTTTCCCACGGTATTCCCACAACGGGTGGAACCCGCAGATTCCAGCGCCACCAGATGTGTGCGGCCGCGCTCGGATACGATGTGGTTGCCGGTACCCGATGTAGAGATGCATGAGTGCAACCCCCCGATCCGATCTAGGTTTTGGAAGAAGCCAATGGACAGTGTGTACACAAAGCGCAGCGTTGCACATGGATATACACGTGAGCTTGATGACTCGAGAGTCTTGGGGGAGGAGCATGGTTCGGACAGCGCAGGGGTCGGGATGCGCGGACGCCGCGCCGGGGACCGGGCACTGGGGACTAGGAGGCGGTCAGGACAACAAGGCAGCAACGGGGACGGCACAACTCGACAGGATGCTAGCCAGAATCAAAAATGGAATTGAAAATCAAGAGAGCATATTTATAATATCCTGCTTATAAACAATTGTCGAATGAGGATACTAAGTGACATTGCGCGCAGGTCGAGGTCATCATTATTGTGAAGAGGCTAAACCCAAATAGGCAGCCAAGGCACATGTCAAGATTTGCCCAGAAGGCTTGTCCCTTTTCGGGCTGAGAACCTTGATCCGTCTTGACTCGATCTGGCAACTTTTCGAGGATGTTCTCCAGCAAGAAGGATTTTTTTTCCCTGCCGACTTTTTTCCTCCGTTATTTCGCTTCCCATTTGTGGGAATAATGAACGGCTGGTCAGGGCGGTCCTGCCCCCCCCCAATGGGGCAGTTGGCGCTCATGCCTCTTCGCACGCGAAACCAGGCACCCCAGCGGAGGCGATGTGACGACAAGGACAGAAAGAATTCTGGGGACCATGACGCTCAATTGCAGAGAATGCCGTATTTTCAGGTGGGGTTGCTCGTGGGAATGCAATTTTATATAAAAAGAGCTGTCCGGCCACGATTTTGTTTGTCGGTCCACAGTGACAGCACAACGGGCTCTTCGTTCTTCGCACTCGACGTTATATTACAGACAACAAAGTCGAGGGTATATATAAACAAGCAACTCTGATGCCTTGATTCTTCGCCTTTGCCCCTTGCCCCGTCACTGACCTCCATCATGGCCTGCCAACAACCCGCCATGGCACCCGACAGCACACACACCTCGGGCGACTCCGGGCTCGTCCGGTTCCTCTCGCGCGCCTCGCAAGCACCCCCCCGCACATCCTCGCCCTCCGGAGGCGGCGCCGACCTCGAGCGGCTCGGGCGCGTGCGCCCGGCCTGCTTCGGCAGCTGGTGGGCAGAGCTCTCCTTCGTGGTGACGGTGGTGTCGTCGATGATGATGAGCGAGTACTGGATCTCCGGGTTCAACATCATCCTGCCGCCGGTGTCGCGGGACCTGGGCATGGCGGACGCGGAGCGCACGTGGCCGGCGTCGGCCGTGAACCTGACGACGGCGGCGCTGCTGCTCGTCTTTGCGCGGCTGGCCGACATGCACGGCGGACGGGCCGTGTTCCTCGCGGGCCACGCGTGGATGTGCGCGTGGTGCGTCGTCGCGGGCTTCAGCCGCAACGGCGTCATGCTCATCGCGTGCCGCGCCATGCAGGGCGTCGGCGCCGCCGCCTTTGTGCCCGCGGGGCTGGCCCTGCTCGGGCAGACGTACCGGCCGGGCCCGCGCAAGAACCTCGTCTTCGCCGTCTGGGGCGCGCTCGCGTGCGTCGGCTTCTACGTCGGCATCTTCATGGGCGCCGTCACCGCCCAGTTCCTCACCTGGCGCTGGTTCTTCTGGCTCGGCGCCGTCTTCGTCGCCGCCATCGTCGCTGCCGGCTTCTGGAGCATCCCGCGCGACCTGCACGCGCTCGACCCCAGCATCCGCATGGACTGGCTCGGCGCCGGCACCATTGTGCCTGGCGTCACGCTCGTCGTCTTTGCGCTGACGGACGGCGGCCAGGCGCCCCAGGGGTGGAAGACGCCGTACGTGTACGTGCTGCTCGTCGTCGGCCTGCTGTTCCTCGCCGCCGCCGTGTACGTGCAGGGCTGGGTGTCGGCGCAGCCGCTGCTGCCGGCGGACCTGTTCCGGCCGAAATATATGAAGCGGCTGTGTGTCGTGCTTTTTTGCGCCTACGGCACGTTTGGTCTCTTTTTGTTTTACATTTCCTTTTACATTGAGACGGTGCTGCACACGACGCCGATCCTGACCGCGGCGTGGTTCACGCCCCTCGCCGTCGGCGGCGTTATGCTCGCCGTCACGGGCGGCTTCATCATGCACCTGCTGCCCAACCGCATCCTGCTTCTCATCTCCACCGTCGGCTTCCTCATCAGCGTGCTGCTGCCGCCGCTCATCCCGGACCAGACCGGTCCTTCCCCCCTGTCCACGTCCAAGCTCTACTGGGCGTACATCTTCCCGGCCATGCTGTGCGGCACCATTGGCGTCGACATCATGTTCAACGTCACCAACGTCTTCATCACCACGGCCATGCCGCACCGCCACCAAAACGCCGCATCGGGCCTCATCAACAGCCTGCTGTACCTTGGCCAGGCCTTTTGGCTCGGCATCGCCGAGCTCGCCGTCTCGGCGTCCATTCAGACCCAGGGCGCCGACAAGCTCGGCCTGCGTGCGCAGTACCAGATTGGCTTCTGGCTCGGCGTCGGGCTGTCGGCGCTGGCGCTCGTGCTGACGGCGACGATCAAGATGGGGTCGGCGTCGGCGGCGCTGACGGCGGATGAAAAGGCGGCGCTTAGCGAGGCCGAGACACAAGAGAAGCAGTAGAGTACGAGTTGATGCTGGTTTACTTGTTTTAGATATGCATGGCGCTGGCATTTGGCTTTTTAGATTAAATAATGATACATGATTCAACACGACTTGCTCTGAATTTTAGATGTTTGGCTGTTCTTAACCACCTGATAATTATCCTCGATGTTGATCAACCGTCTTTTCTCAATTCAAGTACCAAGTCCCCTATATGCTTCACTTTCAAATCTCAGCATCTAGTTTTATTCTCGAACTCCGTAGAGAATATATTTATCCCATTTTAGCCCCGCTACCTTGAACAATCGAGATCGGTTAACGAGATGCGTGCCGCTGGGGCTGTGGGAACAAAGGAACCAATTTGTTATTCCCGCATCCATAAATTCTATCTTAGCTGCCATACGATAGTTATCGTTTTACAATTTTCAGATACAAATCCCCCATTCTAGTCAATATATATATTACACACTCAGCCCCCATTCCCTTTCTACATTATCTCCCTCAGCCTGCAATATGTACCCCTCTTCTGCCCGACCGGCCCCACACGGCTTTAACAATGCCGATCAGCAAGCCCAACTTACCTACCTAGGTAATTTGCTTCTTCGTTCGCTAGATGGCTTCTTTTTCCATGTATGAATGAATGCAAGTCTGTTGTATTTTTCTTTTGTGCTATATGGTACACATACACACATTCTGTCGTGCGTGTGTGGGCATCTGCATGAATGGCGTTAACTTGGCTGCTAATGTACGACCATAACCGCAGATATAAAGACGCCTTCTCATCCTGCATCCCACAGCTGCCCAACCACTACCAAACACACATAAATCCCATCCGCTCTTCATCCTCGCCCAGAAAACAAACACTGTCATGACCAGCCCCGATCGCTCCGCACTCACCACCGCGGCCCTGGTCGCCGACCTCTGGGCCGCCCTGTCCCTGCCGCCATCCGCCCTCGCCTGCCTCCGGCTACCCTCCGCCGACACATCCATCGCCGTCCCGTCGTCGTTTAAAATCGGCATGTTTGCGCAAGCCAGCATCGCCCTCGCCGCCCTCGCCGCGGCTCAGCACCATGCCCTCCGCAACCACCGTCCCGCAGCCCCGGCCGTGACCGTGCCCCTCGAGCACGCGCGGCTCGAGTTTCACTCGCAAAACTACCAGAGCGTCGACGGCACGCCGCCCGCGCCCGCCGAGCTCGGCACCGTGGGCGGCCTGCACAGAACCGCCGACGGCCACGTGCGCATCCACGACCTCTTTCCGCACCACCTCGCCGCCGCCCTGGCCATTCTCGGGCTGCCCCAAGACGCGACCAAGGACCAGGTCGCTGCGAAGACGCTCACCTGGAACTCCGTCGAGCTCGAGACGCGCGCTGCCGACAACGGCGCCGTCATCTACGCACTACGCACCTATGCCGAGTGGGACGCGCTCCCGCAGGCCTCCGCCGTCGCCGACACGCCGATTCTCCTGCGCCAGCTCGCGCCGGGGCCTCCCAAGCTGCTCCCGCCCACGCCCACGGCCCAGAACAAGGCGCTCGCCGGGCTGCGCGTTGTCGAGCTCACGCGGGTCATTGCCGGGCCCGTCGCGGGCCGCACGCTCGCCGCGCACGGCGCCGACGTGCTATGGGTAACGTCGCCGCGGCTCCCCAGCGTGCCGTTCCTCGACAGCGACACGAGCCGCGGCAAGCGCCGTGTGTCGCTCGACATCCGCGACGCCGCCGACAAGGCGACGCTGCTGCGGCTGCTGCGCACCGCCGACGTGCTGGTGCAGAGCTACCGGCCGGACAGCCTCGCCGCGCACGGCCTGTCCGCGGAGGCGCTCGTCGCGCTGAACCCGAGCATCATCGTGGCCAGCCTGTCCGCGTTTGGCCCCACCGGCCCATGGGCCTGCCGGCGCGGCTTCGACTCGCTCGTGCAGACGGCGAC